CTGAATGGTTGCTTCAGTGGGGGGGGGGGGGACACTGATAATCAATATGTTTGTCACTCTTTCAAACACTCAACTACCAGTATTTTGGTCTCTGGTACCTCACCTTCAGGCATTGGCAATAGATACATTCAGTCAGGATTGGACTGGATTGCATGTATATACATACCCACTGATTAGTCTATTACCCAAAGTCCTAGCAATGATTCATTCAACCCTTTGTCACGTTCTGCTGGTAGCACTGGATTGGCCAGCTCAACCCTAGTTTCTGCTTTTGTGATACCTACAGAAGTGACAACCTCTTCCACTTCCTCTTTGGCTGTCTCTGTTAAGGCAGCCATGATCTGACATCTTACACCCATCCATCGCGGATTCCCAGCTTCATGCATGGATGTTTTGCAGTCTTTCATATGGCATCAGGATTTAACTTCTAAGGTTGCCATGTTCCTGTCTCAGTCTCAGCATCATCCCATGATGGACATTTATGAATGGAAATGGCACACATATTGACAATTGTTTATTGCAAGGAGGTTGAACCTACTTTGTCCAGATATACCAACCATAGCTTGGTGTTTGATCTGGCTTTTTGACAAGGGTTTGGTATCTTCCACACTCGGCTATCTTTAGATACTTAAAGACACCTGAAATTTTTTGAGTCCCCAGTGCTCTCCAGCCTCTTCAAGTAGTTTCGGGTCCATCATCCCAAATGATTGTTTCAGTTACCTAACTGGGATATAAAGATGGTGTTACATGCTCTTTCTTGACATCCTTTTGAGCCCGTAACCTCATGTACCATGTATCAACTTTCCCTTATAATTTTTTGTTGCTGCTGGCCTGTGGACGTTGCTGGTCAGATGTGTTTGCGCTGCACTTGCTCAGGACACTTTATCATTCTACCTATGTTCTTTTATACCCAGACAGGTCCTTCTTACCTAAGACACTGACAGCCAAGTAAGGGAAAAATCCTTTTTACTCCATCATTTCTTATGTCCAGTGAGGGCCTTGATGTGTTAGGTTGCCTGCACTAAAGCTTTTAGAGGTGCTAGACAATGTCTTTTTATTCATTGTGTCCCTTCATTTTCACAGGATCTACCTCTGGTTACCTTTACAGGGTGGGTCCAAAAATGTATCCATATTGCTTATTCTGGACTTTCTTTGGAGGTGAGGAGACATCTGTGAGTCACATCTCTTCAGATTCATCACATTTCTCTTAGCAGCCTGATTGAATTGCCTGCTGGAGGACAATTTACAGGCTGATGTGTGGACCTCCCCCAGTACTTTAATCTCACATTATTTGCATGATCTGGCAGTATATTCTTCTGAGGGTTTTCAGCTACACCCTGTAGCTATATTAACTACATCTGCTAGATTTTACAGAGAGGTGTGTATTTATTACTAATTTTGCCTCTTTATTTTCCACAGGATTCCACTATGTGGTGAGTGTTACCCAGTCAGATGCGCTTTTATCAAATCAAATCTGCACTAGCAACCACTGATACAACATACTTTATCTAGGTTGCACCAGGCTCAGTAGAAATGGGGTGTCCATAAGACCACTTAAAGGCAGACCGTGTGGTATTTCTATTCTATGTTGGACTGCCACTCATGGACTATCATGAGTAAAGCATAATGGGATCCTGCCATCCCTACTGATCAGTGAATTGCATAAATTGGGGTTGGTTTGTTTTTAAAAATTTAGGGAACTTGGTTCACCTATTGCACTGTTTCTAGAGCATTGTTCTTCAAGGCTTCCCAATGTGCATTACCCCCCTCCTTCACCATATTCTACTAATGGAGCTAGTCCTCACTACTCCCAGTTTGCAGTCATTGGAGTGGTGGACAGAGATTATTCTTCCAGAGTGTTTGAGTGACTTTCCTCCACTCTTAGGGAAGAGAGCAAAGTTGGGGGCTCTCCTACCCAGGACCCTGGATTGTTTTTTTTCCTAGATGTCAAAAGGAGCGGCACCAGCCTACTTGAGAGCTTACTTGTAATACCAATTTAGATTTGACACTCAGCTATCCGGTTGGGTTGAGCATGGTGCTTCTTTTTTTTTTTTTATCAATATTGGTTCAGTATATTGTTCATGGAAGAGAATTCAATGTCTCCTTGTAATTCTAAATGCAGAGTGGTCCCATCTTGGGTCCATGGTTGAGCACACTTTGTTCCATGTTCTCTCCATTATTCCGGGGGCAATTGGAAATTATCTTGCCCACATGGTTGGGGAGTGAGAATGAGTGTTCATAATTCCAGATGGGATGAACTCTGTTTCCTCAGGTTGAATATACCATACAGGATCCCATCATTCCAAGTTTGGGGTGTTGCCTTTTGGACTTCTTCAGGTTGAGGAGAGGGTTTGTCCACTTCAGTCTTGCTTATCTTCTCATTGTGATTCTTGTGCCTCGGAATGCATCACTATATAGCTACAGGTGTGATCCATTCACAAATATGTATATTGCAGTCCAAATGCTCTATCCACTAATATGGGATTTAGGGGCCATGGCCCTGCAATTTTAATCCCTGAGCAATGGTACCTTGGCTACCTGGTTGGGGCCTTCTATTGGCACGCCCATGATCTATGCAGACGCATTTTGTATGGATAATGCCCTCACTGGCACCTCCACCTTATCAATGTGGGATTGTTACTGTAGTGTGAAAGGAGTAAGTATGTTTTGGAAGTTAACATTTTCTTAAATCGAAAATGTATTTCCAATAATACTTACTTCCTATCACACTCTCCTGCCCTTTCTCTCCAGGTTTTAGAGACTGCAGATTGGGTCAGTCTCGAAAAAGTGACAATATTATCTGAAAGAGGTGCTTATATACAGTACCAAGAAAGATGGTGCATTGACATAGGTGGAGAGTGTCACAAGACAAATATCGCCAAGGGCAATTAAGTGGGAAATAAAAGATGGGAGCAAGCGAGAAAAAAACCAGACCAATGCTTAGATGGGCAAAGGAAAAGAAACCCGAGCAGTTGAGTAATAGCTGTAGTGTGAGTGGAAGTATGTATTATATTGGAAATACGTTTTTGATTTTAGAAAATGTTAACTTTAAGTGATGTGGATAACGATCACTTTATGTGTTGTGATACACAATGAATATTTTGAAAGTTGAAGATAGTATTAGATAAACATAGAATAACTTATCAGTATGACTATTTACTTCATTTTTATACATTATTTTATCTTTATTCAAATTAAAAAAAAAGTGTGAACCAATACAAAATTGAAGATAAACTTTTAATGTGAATTGTCTAAATTGTGTGAATAATATAATAAATATTAGTTGAATTAGTATTCATACACATCACATTCATTTGTTTTTTTATTCAGTTATTTTGTGAATAAATTAAAAAGAATGTTAATTTTGTCCAAAGATGCTCAGTTCAAAGTCTTTCTCTAACTAAAATTTATAGCGAACCCAATATCAATAACATGGTCAAAGCATCACGACAATGACAGTTTTTTTTTATATACCAGAATACAATTGTAGTTCCCAATATATTTTATTTTTTACCTTGAATGTTTTTGATGAATAAATTATGTTTCTTTTTTTCTGGAATGGGAAGCTAAATAAAACTGAAAACTTTTGAATCTAGGTATTTCATCTTCACCTCTTTTTGGGCCTACAAGATTTACTATGTGTTTGGATTTATGCTGCTAGTGTTTTTGATCTTGTCGATTGTCACGATATGTGTCACAATCGTGTGTGTTTACTTTTTGTTGAATGCAGAGGATTACAGATGGTAAGTATAACTCAAACTCTTTCATTATTGTTGGTTTTTTTCTGCACCATAATTTTTTTTTTCAAATGATAAATGGTTAAAATTATTTTGTAAATAACTTTTTGTACTGTATCAATGTGATTTACCAGAATACTATTAACTTGCTGCCAGAATATCAAGTTGCTAACAGATATTTTGTGCGACTCACTATATTATTTACATGTACACTTAACTTATTGCTAAATGAATTAATAAATTAATTAAAGAAGTTGTACTGTTCCTACCCCAAATGCCTTGAAATAATTACTATGTATGTAATGTTTAAATTACTGACACTGATAGAATTTTTAATTTTACTGTTTATATCTACAATTAATTTTTTCCTTGGCCAAATAAGTTTAAGTGTGAGCTTGTCACACTCTTTGTTCTTAAACATCATCCATTCACAGTTAAAAAATACACACACACACACACACACACATAACACTAGAGAACATGAAAAATATGAACGTATGATTTATTAAAAAATCCAACTGATGTAAGAAGTCATCCAATGTTTATCACTCTTATGCTGAGATAAAAAGATTATTGGATGAAAATAGTTAAACATTAGGAAAAACAAGCATGTATTGCCTGTTTTATATATTTCAAAGTATTTATTGTGGTGATTCTTTATATAGAGTGACCAGCACAAGATTATACATAGTTAAACTTTCAGATTTTTACTGGACATTTAATACATTGGTAAGCATTAAAAATGAAATTAAGCTGTCCAAAATGGCATAGCAGTTTATAAAAACACATGTTTTTTAACCAAAAGCTGTACAGTGATGACAATGGATTTTATGTTACTTCTAAGATCTGACTCTGTGATACATATAAGTCACCATATGGTTACAAACCAACAACTGTCTCTGATGTGCATGCAAGTCACCCTATGGTTACAAACTAAAATCTGACTTTGAGATACATGCATGTCACCATATGGTTACAAACTAAGATCTGACTCTGAGATACATATAAGTCACCATATGGTTACAAACCAACAACTGTCTCTGATGTGCATGCAAGTCACCCTATGGTTACAAACTAAAATTTGACTTTGAGATACATGCATGTCACCATATGGTTACAAGCTAAGATGTGATTCATGGGGTACATGCAAGTCAGCATATAGTTAGAAATTAAGATCTGACTCTTGGGGTGCATGCAAGTTCACCATGTGGTTACAAACTAAGATTTGACTCTGAGATACATGTAGATCACTATCTGGTTACAAACCAAGGTCTGACTCCTGAGGTATATGCACATCACCTTATGGTTACAAACCAAGAACTGTATCTGAGGTGCATGCAGGCCACCATATGGTTAGAAACTAAGATCTGATTCTTCAAATGCATGCAAGTCACCATATGGCTAAAATCTGATTCTGAGACACATGCACATCACCATGTGGTTACAAAGTAAGACCTGATTCTTGGGGTGCATGCAGGTAACCATACTGTTACAATCCAAGATCTGACTTAATATAGAGGGTAAATGTTTTATATTTAACCATTATTACTGAATTGCCATAGATAATACAATTCTTGTTAAAATGTATTTAAATGAGATCCGTTAGTTCTAAGAGTTATTTTAATAACTTTACCGTATATTTGGTTAGTTTCTTTGTATAAGTTTCTTTACTTTATTTGTTAACTTTTAGCATCCGCACCAGAATCAAAAGGATGAAAGTATAGAAATAAAAACTTTAAACAATAGAAAAAGATACATATATCTTATCATGACTACTCAGTTGTTCTCCTTATCTTTCAGGCAGTGGACTAGTTTTCTAGCTGGAGGATCTACTGCTGGTTACGTCTACATCTATTCCTTTTACTATTTTTTTTTCAAAACAAAGTATGTCTTAATTGCTTTTATTCTTTTATAATGGTAATTAACATAATGATAAATTTGTATAATGTTCTGTTTCCATGTACAACTTTTTTTATCATAACAATGCAGATGCAAGAGCTGAAAAATAAATAAATATTTATAGTTTTTTAAATCTTTATTGATATTTATTATCTTCATTCTATATTATGATTTCTAAAACTCGGCAGTACAAGTTCAGCATACATTTTACTTGCTTAGTATTATTTGTTGTTGTTTTTTACAAACTTTTTCCAGCAACAAACTAAGCCATCGTGAGAACTACACCAGTTACAAAATAAATAACAAGTGTAATATCTTTACATATGCTTATACATTATACGCAGTTTTTGAGAAGTCAATTTATATGAAAAGTGTTAGTTACACTTGTTTTCATATGGTCAGAATTTCTTACACCAGTATTTCTATGACAAACATGAAACATTATGCTTTCATCCTTATGTGCTTCTGCAAAAGAAATAAATTTATGCTCTCAGCTAATTTCCTAATTACTTTATGCAATAACAATAAAGTCTGTGGATCTCTGATTTTTTAAAGTCCTTAATAACCACAATGTGTCAAACATTAAAATCTGTCTGTTCTACCTCTAGATCAGCATTCCTCAACCCATTGATTGTGAGCCAGATATTTTTTGCACTAAAGCTATTTACTGGCTTGCAACTGGTTATTAATGTTTAGAAATGGGCTCAGAGCCACAAAAAAGGTTGAGAACAACAGCTATAGAGGATCTGTTAACCCTCAACTTTCCAACTTTTTTTGTATACCATTCACCACAAGTGGGTTCTGAATATTACACTTTATTCAATAATTTTTTTTTTACTTAATACAACACATGTATTATAAAGAACTGAGAAATAAAATTTGGGTGAAATCACTTCATTTTCTATTTAAATGATATGGAGGACCCAGAAACAATTGTGAGATTAATTTGTGAGTTGTATGTTATCAGGGTACATGTAAACCAACAAAATTAGGGACCCACTAGCAAAGGAACTCATTGAAAGTTCTAGGGTTAATATAAGCTAATCTGTAGTATGAGGAAACCTTCTTAGAAATAATTTTTATAGGTTGTATATCTATAAATATAAAATATTATTTATTATTTGCCAACTTGTATTCAAATTATTCAATAAAAACAAATATATTTATTATGTAAAAACAATATTTGTTTTTATTAGTTGTGCAGTTCATAAAAAGTCCAACTTAATTTTTCTGTGCTATAAAAAATGGTAACTTATAGATGAAAATGAAAAAATGGTAAGAAGATTTCTTCATTAGAGAGCATGGCATCACCTGTTGTTTTAACCAAACCCATGACATGTTTGGATTTGGATCAATGAAAACTAATAAATTAAGACAACTATCTATCACTGCATTCTCATCTACAAATATTACAAAAAGAATGATGTACTACTTGATTGATGATATGTGCTCAGTTAACTTTGTGAAAGAAAAAACTTGTAAACCTATTAAAGATCATAATATATAAGTGGATTTGTAGGAGGCAGTGATTTTAATTGAAATATGCAAACAAATTGGTAAGTTATTAAAACCCGAATCTTTCTAGTGTTTGAATTTTTTTATGTTTCATCTGTATTTATGATATTCTAAAACCCTATCACTAAATGATTTTATTAGCTAATTAAGGAATTCAAGTTATTGAAAATATAATATTGACATACTTTTTGTTAGTTAGTTCATAAAGTTTTGTTTATGTATGGTTTTTGCTAGCAAAAACATACATGGAAATTGTAATGATGAGAAACTAGTATATGCATTTTTAGAAAATAGTATTTTAAAACATAAATTATGTATATTGAGATTTCAGCTATAAAATATTTAATATAGAAGAAAAAAAAATCATGAAACTTTTTTTCTTCTTCAGAATGCTTGGCTGATTCCAAAGAGCCTTCAGTTTTGGATATATGACTATCACCTGTTCATACTAGAATAAAATTCTAAATTATTTTCCACTATTGATAATTATGTATTATGAAAATATTGTTTTTCTTTCTTTTCAGAATGTTTGGCTTGTTTCAAACAGCATTTTATTTTGGATATATGGCTCTCTTTAGCTTAACTCTTGGGGTTCTTTGTGGTAAGTTTCTTGTTGGATTTAGCTTCTAAAAGCAAATCTCTTTGGCCATATTTATTTGTTTGTAATAACCTAAAATCTGTTTGTATCAAGTCAGAAGTACATTCCCACACGTCAGTCAATCACCCATGAGTTATAAGATGATAATAGGAAAGATAAACTTTAAAGGAATAAAGTTAGGTTACTTTCCTATGTAGATATGACATATTTCAAGCATATTCTTAATTATTACTGGACAATACTGCACTGGTAGCTAATTGACTTCGTAGAGAAGTGAGTGATAATCTGTATGTGTGCTGTAGCTAGGTTGTAATTACAGGTATTTTTTTGTGCAACTTTCAACCTCTTTCAGTCTTTGTTGGTTTACTGAAATGCCAGTAGCTGGCATCACTTCATTTAAACTATGAAATAGCATCTTATGCTAGTCATTAGTTTTTTTTTGGGGGGGGGCATCTTTTTTTTATTTGTCTGCTTGATGCATATCTTTGCTTCTTATTATGGTTTTTATGGGGTTATTTTAAAGACTGATGCTTGAAAGAGAATTATCAGTATTATACTGAGTCTTATCTCTAATTTTGCAGAGTGGGGAATGAAGCTTAATAGGATTCTTCATTCCAACCCTCCTAGGCCACATGTGAGTGATGTAGTAGTGTTTTTGCATCAGTAATATACATATAGAGTTGCCATTTAACATTTTAACTTCAGTGGACCACTTTTTTTGATGCAATGTTTTAAAACACTTTCTCTCATCCCAGCTCTTGAACTTGTGTCATTACTGGTACTTTTTCTTTTCATTTTAGTGTCTAAAAATTTAGATTGCTGGTAGAATATTACTGTTTAGAGCAGAAGTTGATCTACTGAATCCAATGTATTTTCCTAATCTGGAAATCTCTACATGCATGTGAGAATTTAAAAAGCAAGTTTATCTGTAGGATTATTGAATCTAAATGCCTCTACAAACTTCAAGTTTATTGTGATCTGTGTCAAATCTGGAATTTCGTGATACCATAAGTTATTCCACAAAGACTGACTTCGCTGCTGATCCAGTGGCTATTGTCCTAGTCCAGGACGTGCTTTTTTTTTTTAAAAAAACTTGTCTTCCGTATCCATTACAGTTTCTTTGATGAGACTTCTCACCAATGTCATTGAGAACTTACAAAAGGAAACTTTCAGGGACAGTTTTGTTGCTCCAGCTTAAATCATGGTCCTTGTTAGGTTTGCAGGTGATTTGTAGCATATATGAGAATGTTAAAGTATTTCTCTGTGTCCATCAAAATATCTCCAGTGATGTGTAAAGTATGCAAGTGTAAGTTGAATCAGCAACCAGTTATATTTAACAAATAATTTAGTGTTAAGGATGTTTACCAAGTTGACTGGAAAACCTGTTCATATACAGTGCTTCTTAAGACTTAACTTATGTAGAATATATTCAACATTATTGTGCAGTCTTTATAAGTGGTTCGCTAATAGTTGATTTTTTCCTTGTTGTATATTGCTTAGCTTATTTTTCTGACATTTTTGGTATTCCATATCTTCAAAAATCAATAACCATAAAGTAATCAGAGTTTGAGAGGAGTAGCTTACTTGTGTAATTGTTATTTGTTGCACATCCACCATTTTATTTTTACCAAGCGTTTACTACATTTGTTATTAAAACTCTCTATGCTATCTCTGCCTGATACTGCTGGAGTGTGTTCATTATATAATGAATTTATGTTTCAAAAGCTTACTTTTGTAGATGAAAGTTTCAGTAGAAGGAAACAAAGCTTTTAATTCATTTCTCTTTTCATATTTTTCTGCTAATGTTTCTCAATAACTGGTCATTAATTACATTTGTCTGTTAGGTACAAGTTTTTTTTTTCTCTTCTAATGATCTACTTAAGCTCCTTGTGACAGATCAATTATTTTATGATGTACCTATTACAGCAGCTCCTCTGAACTTCTTCAGCCTTTAAGATACATAGTTGTTTCCCGAGTAGGTGCATCTATTAAACATTCATTTGTCTACTGACAAATGAATTGTATATGTAGGAGAATTGCCGTATTTCAGTATACTTTCATTTTGTCCACATACACACACCATAGCTTACTGTTTATGATTAGATATTAATACTAGTTTTAATTCCAACACCCACGATAGTTCAATGAACTTCTGAAAAGTGTGTAGGTAAGTAGTTTAAATTACTGTTGAACTGCCAAGATAGATTTCTTCCTTTAACTCCAGAACCTCCCCCTTTTTTTTGGGTGAGGGCAGTTCAACAAGCTATTTGAAACATTACATTCAATGGCAACTTTGAAGTAATGTATACTGTAACCATCACTGAGATTTCTTGGATGTTGCATTGGAATGTGATCGTACTATGCAAAACCATAAATTTGTTGATAACTGAGAGTTACTAAAAATTTATTAGTTATGGAATTGCAGATGCTTGACTTGTAAACTCTATATATATATATATATAATTATCATAATTTCAAATTTGTGTTTTAAGAATCTTGAGCAGTGCCATTTCTTGCCTAGAGTTGTGATTTTCAGACTTTCTATTGTCATGGATGAGTCTCATCAGCTCTCTGTAAAAATAAGTTAATTTTTCTGTTAATACTTATTTGAAGCTTACTTTTCTATTCTAACATCCTGCTTTACTTGTGCAATAACATAATCCAATTGAATAGATGGTTAAATGTGATCCAAAGTTAAGTATGATAAATTTATTTATTTTTTCTTTCAATTTCAAACAACAGATGAATTCCCAAATTTGCAAAATGCAATCACAGAGCAGTGAAATGAAATAACTTAAGAAAAAAAGATGTTACATATAGTTCTTTATAGGTATTGTAGAAGAGCAAGTTGTAAAACATTTGATGTGAACTTGAAGGGTTTCGTATAGGTTTGTTTCATCATAAATTTTAAAATCTGTTTCAAGTAATACATAACAAGATTCTTAATTTCAGGGACTCTTGGATTTGTTGGATCATCCTTCTTTGTCAAAAAAATTTATTCAAATGTTAAGATTGACTGAATGATACTGCATATTTTGTGTGCTACTGGAAAAATAGGGGTTTTAATAATCTATGGCACCCAAGTCCACAAATCTGTGAGCGAGAGGTAATATTGTAGACAGCACAAGTTCATCATGAAGCAGAATCACGAAACGTTTTTGTTGCTTTTTTTTCATTTGATCACCATGTATAAACAGTTTCTGGGATGTATTTTAATTTAAGTTAATTAAGGCTCAGAAATGTCATGATTAATTTTTCTCTCTCTCTCTCTCTCTCTATATATATATACATTAGTATATTTGAATGTGTGGTTTTATTTTGAGTTGAATTTCATAATTGATCTACAACTTTATAATGCATTAATGATGGCAATCACTTGTTTGAATCTTAGTAATAATAAAAAGAATTATTTATAAATTTTCATATAGCCTAAAAATGATATCCCATCATCAAGTTTTATGACTCTTATTTCAAATAAAGGTCCAGTCACTACTGACATTTCAGTCATCCTAATTACTTCTCTTGCACATATCCAATTTACTACATTACTCACAGGAGATTTTCTCTGCAGATATTCTACTAAATAAATCAAATACAAAACTTCATCTAGATGCTCTACTAAATCAATTACAATACCAGAGGATCCATCAAGACATTCAAATATATCAACCACAGTAGGAGACTTCTTCAAGACATTCCATTATATCCATCAATGTAGGAAACTCTTCCTATATACATCCTACCATATCAGTCAATTAGGTTAGGTCTTCCTGGCAAAAATTAATGTTATTAAAAATCTTGATTGACATGGTGATACATAGACTCATTAGGCCCAAGTCATTGACATTGACTTACGAAAATTAGATGCATCTGATAGGTCTCTAAGCTTAGAGATTTATAGTAAATTTAAAGCATGATGCATCACCAATACTAGAAATACAATATGCAATATTGCACCTAGACTTGCATTAGATCTAGAGCCTACAAGGAAACATTTTATTTTTGTAGATATACATACCTTTCTAATAAAGTCACCCAGACTACTCTCAGTGGAACTGCTCTTCCATTGAAATTTAGGCAATATTTTGTTAGTATCAATAACACCTTTTTTCTCAAGCCAGGAACAATTCTATTTGTTCTTCACTGACACATCTATTTCCTGCATTTTTCCTCTCAACAACCTTGACTGGTGCAGGACTCAATTGTTAATATTTATATTGCCAATCAAGCATTTATCAGATAACTTTGCACCAGTGGGCCAGGTATATATATTTGAAAGAACAACAATGACTTCAGACTGGGAAGCCCATCACATAACAAACTCTCCTGACATTCTGGCAACCAGTGGTGAAAATCTATCTGTTGACAGAATCATCTGATTGATTGCCATAATGCACTCCCAGTTGTGATCTGATTGGCTCGTCTACAGAGATCTATTTCCAAAAATGTTCAAAGCCCTTATAAGTCAATCTTTGTAATTACACATAGAGAAATAGTGTCTCTGAATGGAGATTCCCACCTCATTAATATATATATATTACCTGAGCTGAACCTACTTACAATACACATAATCTCAAACATCAACAGAAAAAACATATTTATAGGTATAATGCATGTGTTTAACATGAACTGCACTATGGTAATGTTAGAATAGCTATTGTACTCAAGAATATCATTCCACACAAAACAAAATTTGTGGAAAAAAACTCACATCTGCAATCTGGTATATCAATCATGATAGATTTCCTCAAGGCACTTTTTCAATAACAGAATCTTCCTCGAGACATATTCTATTATATCCATCACAACAGAAGACTTTCTCTAGATATCCTACTACGTCTGTACTGTCTCAGTACTCTATATGTTAGTTACCATTCACTATTTTCTGAATATTCTTCTACTGTGAATAAAATGTTCTTCCAGTTTTACACCAATTTCAAATGCAGAGAGTTTTACTATAACATTTGTTTCAGTTTTTTCTTAGTTATTCCCAAAAATAACTGAAAAGAAGCTTTATCCATGATACTACAAAAGAATTAATAGACTCGTCCTGTAGAAAATTTATAGTTCTTTGTATTCATGCAAGAGACACCTGTAAAATAATATAGTTCAAGTGTTTAATGGTTATCTTGTGCAGTTACCTCGGAATTTTAACAGTCTTCTACCATAGATACAGTAGGAGAAACATTTGTCTTCAGGATGTTCTAATACTCAGATTGCTTTTAACCTGCAAGATGCTCTATATCTATGGCACTTAGAAACTGCTTGTTACATTTTTCCATAGATAAAAGATTGAAGTTACTCATTTTGTTCATTTAAAAAACGTTTAAAAAAGCATCACTGCTGTAGATTTTATTTCCACATAATTTTTTTACTCTTTTTCAACATGAATGTGTTTGATACTATCCTACTTTAGTGTGAAACTTGACACTGAGTGTTGCTTCAATTTTTGGTGATAAATATGTGTAATTTATGCCAAACACACAGAGATCGTTTAGGAGTAAAAAATAAAATATATAATTGGCCACTTGCAGTGAAAAAATGTCACACAACACAGAAAAATAAAGATTGGGGAATTAAGTATTTCCTTTTGAAATTAAAATTTGAATTATAAACTACAATTTAATCTTAAGTTTATTAACATATATTGATAATGAAATTTACGTTTTGAACGTAACTCCGTAAAAAGGTTATTATGAGCACTTTGGCCCATCAATGCAAGTAGGGTTAATGAAACCTTTTAAATTATTTCTTTAAGTTACAATACTATTAAATTTTCTTTCTGAATATAACATATGAAAATAACTTACCAAATATAAATTTCCTTCCTTTGTTAACAGGCTCATAAAAAAAACTGAGTTTTATCTCTTAACTGAATGTGACGAAAAGAAAATTGTATGTTTACCAGAAATATGAGTTGACAAGAACAAAAACTGCAGTAAAGAATTATGTTAATTTGCAAAAGTATCAGCTATTTTATATCTTCAAAATATCGGATTCAGCATGAAGTCCAGAACTAACATTTTCCTTAATGACTAAATAAAAATGAGGTTTCTGGACAAAATAATAATAAATGAAAAGTTAAACTTTCCATATATAGCACACTATTCTTGTAATGCAAAAAAGTATCATTGCAGTGTGTACATAAATGATTAAAAGAAGTTTCTACTTCATAAGCAAATGCTATTACAAAAGTAACATGGAGGCTCAATGTATCACTGACTTGCCAGAAAGACAAATTATAAAATTTGATACAAATTTTTGGAAATTCCAATTGAATTTTTTTTTTTTTATAATTTCAAAAAACAAGTTTTTATGCTATTTTCATTATTTTTAACCAAATAAATTACAGGTCCCATACACAGTACTGCGAATTTCCGAGCATTCATAAAGAAGTCTTCACCTCTGATCTTGCCAACACTCGCAAACTTATCACTGGTAGCAGCCATGTGGAACATACCACTGCACAGGCACACAAGTGTATTAAAAAAAGATGGTTTGAATATGAAACCAAAAAAAAAGCACTAGATTAACTTAATCTGATCTATGTTTGAAAATAATTGATTTACAATCCATTAATTTGGGAAGGTAAGTAACGCCCATTTGTATACTTAAAATCAAGTTTTGAATATTAAGCTGGATTTATTACATTTAAATGTATATTTTTTTATGCTCTGAATTGTGTGATTTTCTTTAAAAAGCTATATGGTAAAAATACTTGTTTAATATTAGTGAAAATGAACAGAAAATGTCTCCAATTAAATTAAAACTATCCAGGTTAAAGAAATCACACTTTATCATTTAAATAAACTGAAAATTCAATTCTGAACCTGTTTTAAAGTTGTAAAAGAAGTATTTGACAAACAGTTTGGTAAATGATTCTCAAAACAACACCTGCATACACGTGTTTGCTACAAAAAGGAAGAATTTATTGATACTTTGGTGGTTTGAAGAGCACTGTCAATCGATATCCTGGTCATAATAGATCAAGTCACAACTGTTCTAAGTGTACTACAGATATATATATATGTTTATATATATATAAATAGTTTTACATGTATACATGAAAGATTATATTAGAGCTCAAAACTAAAACACACACTGACAGCAGCAACAATTATGCTGGTGGGAAACTTTTACTGGTACATCAAGTACAATCCAACCTGAAATTACAATCTTGAAGGTGCATTTACCAACATTTCAAGCAATAGAATATATTTAACCAAACCTAAAGCCATTCAACTCTTATATTTTTAAAGATAATTTTATAACAGTTGCAAAGAAGTTTCACAGCAGCAGCAAGTTAACTCCCACACGACCCTAAAGAATCTGTCTTCATCAGGCTAAACAATGATTAATGTCTTCAAGTTCTTCAACTGTGTACAGAGGAAAAAAAATCTACAGGAATAGAGGAGGACCCAGGATAACAAAGGTGCTAACCGAGGAAAAGAGTATCAGTCACGCTTGGTGCTGACTCCAGTTATGCCATGTCTGGAAAAAACAAAATTATATATATAATATATACAGCAGAAAAATATGGTACTGGAAAGACTGCACAAGCCACTCATTTTTAAGGAGGGGGTAATTATCTGTCTAATCATACAATAACACGAATGCATACAAGATTTTAAAAAATGCACAAGAGCTAATTTTTATATATATATATATATATATATATATATATATATATGTATGTAAGAAACATAGATTAGATAAAGGCTAAAAATGTATATTTTGTTTTCAATATATCATATATAATTACCTCCCCTAATGGAAATGTTAAACCTTGTTTCTGATTTTTAAATTTTGATTTCTGTGTTTTCTCTTCCTAACTCTCCAGCTATTTTGGTTTGTCATCTTACTTGGTTAAATTTTTAGTTACTTGTGTACAAACTGCAATATTATTATTGTTATGTCTGTTAACAACTGAGAAATATATTATGCTACTTTAACCAAGTATGTAGAAAAATAAAATAAATAATCATTCAGAAAAGATTAATATTAAAGTTTTCTAATAAATCTTTTACTTTACTAGGACAATCATTCGAAATATAATTGGCAAATTTATATACCTATAACATAATGGGAATAGAAAAAAAAAGGAAGACTGCCGAAATCTTTCTGATTTATATGCAAAACTTGTTTTTTCACTTTCATAATATAAAATCTAAACATGTTTCTAAAACCTTTTCACTAACATTGTACGAATCATTTAATCAAACTTAAACTTGGAAGTTACTGAAAGAGCAATTTAATCAAACTTAAACTTGGAAGTTACTGAAAGAGCAATTTAATCAAACTTAAACTTGGAAGTTACTGAAAGAGCAATATCTAAGTGAATCAATTATTCTTCATATTCTTCTGGTGTTGAAAATAAGTTAATGACTAATTCCACAGTTAAGTTGTTTGAGACAGGGAGTGAAAAAAATATAACACAAAAATGCCTTTATTTATTATTGTATTACACAGCTTTAATACCTTTTTTTCCCAAACCAATCTATTTATATGTTAGCTGAGAATGTTCTTCCTGATACTGACCATTTTATGGTCACAGGAAAGGTTGTCTCCCATGTTGGGTAACACCATTTTGGAAGGGGCACGCCACATTTCTCCTCCAACTTCCATTCCCGTTGCGAGGCCTCCATTGGCATGAGAAGAGTATAGGTGAGTGGTCAAGACATGGGGTGCTGGCATACCATTTAGAAATGGCGGATAGCCTCCTGGTGGTGCCACTGCATTCATGGGCTATATTGAAGGAAAGAAAAGAAAAATGAGATGTTTGCTATATGGATGTTCTTTTTAAATACAGTTTTATCCAAACTGAAGTAACATCATCAAAATCCACAGGGTATAGTCAGGAATGTGTGAATAATTTTTATGTAAAATTAATGAAACTCAATCTACCAAAAATTACTGCACATCTGAAAATATAAGGATGTAGAATGTAGTGTTTAAAAGTATAATAGGCCTAATACTAATGTCTTATGACAAATATAAATCATGCTTTTACACCATAACAATTATTGCATTGATAAAATATAAGAAGTAAATAAGAAACTGGCATTCAAAACCTCTTAGGTGAATTTTATATTTTTTGTAAGTTTAAAAAACATTTACAATAATAAAATTAAATTTTACGAACCACATTAGTTATGAGTAAAGAGAAGATATTTTCTGTCAAAAACATTTAAGTGAAAACCAAAAAAATAAAAATTTAAACCTAAAATACACCTATTGGGTTGACTGTTTAAGGGCCAACTGCTATCAAAATATAGTATAGGCTTTTCAACTTCTTTCATCTAAAACTTACTGGATACATGAGAAGTATAAAAATAATTAGGTTATGACTGCATTTGTGCATATTCAATTGTATAGTTTTTAGTGTCATTATAACCAGTAACTGGATTATAAGTGTTTATTGAGATTTTATCTGCAATAATATGACTGCTGCCAAATTCTGTCTGTAAAGATAGCTCTATACACAATGTCCACTAAAGGGCCAAAACTTAAGAAAAAAAAAGAATGCAAATTTACTGGGTAATCTACTAAGGGCATTAACATTTCATTTTGACCTGTGATTGACTTAAGATTTTTAAGACTCTCAGCAACATAATTAAGACTACTCAAGGCCTTAAAAATAGAAAAACTCAAGACCTTAAGGCTCCATGAGAACACCACAAGAAGTTTCAAATTAATTATTAAATTTAAAACAGTTAGAAGATAATTTGCCACTGTCAGCAAAAACACTCTCTTGTGCCTTTTAAAAACGTATTGTCTGTGCTTATTGACAAATAAGTGTTCTTTTTGGAACACCTTACTAGTCTTAGCACTGTCTTGCTAATAATTAAAAGAACAATAAAATAATTTGCCTTTTTCAGCAAATCAAGTTTGAAGCTTTTACATATATTATGCATAATACCAGTGGGATCCAAACAAACCCTTCCTTAAATCTAATATTTAGTTCTATGTGAATATCAAGTAATTCAATTCTCACCTACCAAACCTTACAAAACCCGGTGGCATTTCTCAACCAGAAAATTTTTAAACTATACTGTATCATACTTTAGATCAAAAGGTGAATTTTAATTTATTTTAAAAAAATATCTACATATTATTAAATTAAGGGCCAAGTGATTTTGGAAGCAATGTTAAAGAAAAAAACTAAGCCACAACAGAAGGGTTAGGCTCTCACCTGATACGTCTGCTCAAGAGAAGTGTTCTGCTCTGAAGCAGCTGAGAGGTTTTCACCATATCTGCCACCAACATAGTTGTGTAACATGTGTGGAAGGTGTTCTTCTTGGGAGAGTGTTGGCATTGTTGCCATACCTGAAGGCACGTGATGTATCCAGTCCCCTGCCGAACCTATATCTGACCAGAAAAAGAAAATCTATCAAGCCACTGTAACAATCATTTGTGTATCACAGCAAAACAGACAAAACAACTGAGTACAAGAAAAGAAATAGAGTAACCATTCAACAATACATAAGTCATGGTAATGCAGACAAAATCATGTGTTACCATCCACTATTGAACAATACAAAAAATTATGATGATGCAATAAAACTGTAAGTTAACACCCACTATTCAACAATAAATAAGTCGTGTGTATACAACAAAACTAGGGTGACCAGATTTCAAAACCAAAAAAACTAGGACAGCCATACCTTGCCCTGAATTTCAAAATGGATATTATTACAAATAATTTAATTTTTATTTAACTTTCTTTAAATTTATTGAACTGTTCCACAATATTTCCAAATATATTTACATAGGCATTGTTTATGAAATAATTTCAACTACTTTTTTGGTGATAAACACAAAACAAATGGTCAAAAATAGTCACATTATATATCCAATAAATGTTTAATTATTCACTTTATCGAATTCATCTTAGAATAAGATATATCATACCTGGATTTATTTAAGAGTCAATAAATTTTCAAACATACTGCTTCTAGGTTTTAGCATTACTTTGAAACTTTCCAAGACATATTTTTGTTAAGAATGAATGGAAGGCAGAAGTTTTAATTTTTTTTCATTCAATAGTCATAACATTCAGTACATGACTGTGTAAAATGTATTTTGATGATAAGCACTGCCTTAACCATACTTACACGGGTCTTCCTATGGTCATGGATCAAAGGCCATGTCATTGCATTTGTAGACTCACATTCAAAATTATATTTAACTACTATTTTATGAATGTATGTCAATAAGTTTGGTATCATTGTAGATTATAATTCAAATTTTAGTATTATACATTAGTTAATTTTTTAATTTAAAAGGAAATATTAAAAAAAAGTTCCTAAATGTCGATTTTTGTGTCATGTGATATGTTGAATCCAGCATTGGTTCAAATTAGATGTTTGTGATGTCCAAATACAAAGTCTATAGTTTTTACGAATTAGATACTCAAATTACTAATACTGACAAGCTAGAATATAAGATAAAAACCTCCTATCTTGTCTATTTTCTGAGATATTAATATGTTTATTGAATCAATCAACTCTTCCATATTTAAAAATACTTGTTTACGTACACCTACTTCACCAAAATGATGTTTGTATAACCAATTAAAAGTTCAGAATGTCCCCCTAGCAGTTTCTCACCCACTGCAAAGTACTTCCGCAGGAAACTCTTTCTTTTCATGCTAGATTCTAAGCGGTAATGTAAAACATTAGTAAGATCAAAAAATCATATTTTTTTAGACCCAAATACATCTTAGTTACTAAGCTTGATAATTATAGTGGAATTCTGTGGTAATGATATAGTAATTTATGATTTTTTGTTATTTCAAAATGCATATATAAAACCTACTATTTTTTTTTTTTTTACATCCTCCACATGGGAAACTTGATAAAGCTGAGCAACTTATGGCAAGCAGCAAATGAGTACAAAATTTGTAACTAGAAGATATAATTGTTTTCTATACTTCTTTATTTACTGTTCTATGTTTTAAGAAAAATAAGTTTAAGAACTTATTTGTAAATAGTAATATTGTATAAACATATATAATGTATTATAACTGAAATGTGACTGTATTTTACAAAATAGTGGTCCACTAGAACACAGCCAAGACAGGTCACTTTGTAAAGGCCAGTCTTATATTCTTGGATATGGTAACATGAGTGCAAGTGTGCCTTGTCATTGCAACTCTACTGCTAGTCGGATATGGCTGAAAGGTCAATAAAATAAAAATAATAGATATTTATAAATGTATAATGTTATGAGATTTACTCTATTTAGACTAAACATTTATGTTTTCATGTTATAATTTGTAGCCATTCTAGAACAAAAAAATGCCTAATTTATATCTATTTCTTAATTTTTTATGGTGGTTATGATGTCGGTCAAATAGACCTTAACCCATACAGAGATACAATAGTGAAAATAACATATAAAACAAAGTTTTTTTCTAAAGAAAAGTTTAATAATTATCTGGAGATTATAAAGATTTTGCATGTGAAATTTGGAACATTTTTGATGCATAAAAATATTTTTAATCTTAAAATCAAAATCACTTTGGATGTTGGATAGTCATCAATCGAAAAGAAAAAATGCATGAGAAAAACGTTTTTTAAATAATATTAAAACTTAATAAAAAAATTAATATTTCATATAAAAAACTTTGTCATGTTAACTGATAATCTGCAAGATATGCTTACTGTATTAAAAGTTATAGCATGAAAACTATAAAGCACAAAATGGTTACGAGGTCGGTACCTGGAATCGAGCCCATAGTGAAAGAGTTAACTGTCTCATTATTCAGACCTGAGCAGACCTATATTTCTCATCACAAAAATACATAACTTTTGAAAGAGTTTGGCAGTAGGGGAGTACATGTTACAAAAATGAGCAAGTCAAGTATGCCTACTACATTCATGATTCAATGTGACTGACAGTTTTATGTTTTTAAAAGAAAACCAAGATGTTTTTTGCATCCTGAGAACTTTGCTCTGGACACTGGGACAAGCTATCAAAAAACAAGACTTTTCAGGCAAAATGGAGATGTCTGGTCACCCTACATAGGTTAACATCCACCATTCAATAATAAACAAGTCATGTTGAAGCAACAAAACCATAAGTTAATACCCACTATTCAACAATAAACAAGCCCTATTGATGCAACAAAACCCATCATTCAATAATATACAAGACAAGGTATAACACAAAAAAATCAGTTATAGACACATCAAACAAGTGTTAACTAATAAACAGATGTCACAGAACTAATTAGAAGAATGAGTGATAGCAACACATTTTTAATGAAATGAACAGAACTACAATAACCAATAAAAAAAAATACAAGGAAAAGTAGACAGATAAAAATAATTTTTAAAACCTGAAATGAAGTATAAAATGAGTTGGTAAAATAAAAAAAAGATGACAATACATAAATCACAATGAGTCTATGAATATTAAATATTAATGAATATTAATACTTCTATGAATATTAAAAATTCTACCTTAAACCTTTAACTGCCAATAAACATTTATAACTCATTAAAGTCACCATATTTGAAGCATACCCTCTTCAAACACATGACAGAATAACTATGTGAATTTTAAAATAAAAATTTCATATCAAGCTAGTGTTCGTAACAGTCTCAATTTACAAAATTTACGAGTTCTTACAGATAGAAAATCCACGACACAATTTCTACGGCAAGAATAAAAAGAAGGGAAACTCATTAAATTAATCTATAACATTTCTGTGTCATTCAAATAATAGAAAACCACCACAAACTTACGAAACAAAAGCCCCTGTCTAGCCTCGAAGCGTGTCAAAACATAAGAAATTTTACTACTTTGTAATCTAGTGTAACTACAAAAAGAAGGAAGGGACGTCTACAGCAAATCGAATGTGAGAAAGAAAATAATTCCATGATTAAATCAATAGTATTGCAATTTTATTACCTACATAAACTTAAAAACTGTAAAACAAAACATGGTAACAGTTGAAATTTACATAATTGATACTTGAAACCACTGGTACTTTGTAAAACACCATAATTACAGAATTGAGGAAAACAAGACAATTGTACATTACACAAACACATCATTTATTATGACTATGATTTCACCAGATGCTGATGATGCCTCTACTGGTGAAACGTACAACTTTTTTGTTTTCTTCAATTCTGTAGTTAAACTTTAGTTTTTTTTACGTCACCAACTTCAAATATTCACTCTTTTCAACCGATTTCTGCTAAAAATAAGCCTTCAAAGAGAGTTAGATTTATAGATGTGCAACTATCCTGTATCTGTTTATATGGAAAAATTAACAATTTCCACCATCTCAATAACAATTACAAAAGGGGGAAAAATATCAAATATTAGGGCTCACACTTTCGATTCTTTTGACAAGTACTTTATCCAAAATAAATGTCAATAAAAGCCTACAAAAATTTAAAATCTCAAGATCTGAATTATAATTTAATTTTGGAGGTAACTTGACGGGATAGATCGCATAGCCTTTTCAAAATCTGATGTAATTTTGTCCATATAAAAACACATGAAGACTGGGCTAGAATTGATTAAATAAAAAATATACTTAAGTAAAATATTCAAAACTGGCCAAATTTCATTCCAAATGGCTGGCCAATTATGAATATAAGTTTCAGTTTATATACATTGAAAAATTAACCATAACATGGTATATTGAAAACTACAAAGACAACAAGAATTTGAACATAATGGGGAGGGGAATGTCAACCTAAACACCGCAATTTTAAAAAAATTTTATAATCTTGGGAATGTTCTCATATTCCAAACATAAAATGTTAAATACCTAAATTTTATTCTAGAAGTTCATATCCAGAAGTGAAAGGTGTTTGAAAGCTTTTGCATAACTACTCACCTCTTTGGATGTTGGACTCTCTTAAGGTAGCCAAATGACTCGTCATCTAATTAGTGACGCGCATGAATGGATTAACGAGATTCCCACTGTCCCTATCTACTATCTAGCGAAACCACAGCCAAGGGAATGAAAATTGGAACATGTTTTTCTTTAAAAAGATACTAGTTTTATATTTGTATGGTTAATAAACATAATTATTGAGTAACACTACATACCGTTTATTTTACTTGTTCCAAAGGACCAGATACCCTGAACTTCTGACAAACCATATCCTGGATTTTTCTTCTGAGCTCTTTCTGTTCCAATTGGTCTTGGCAGTTTTCTGTCTTCTACAATTCCATGATGATCAGTTCCCACACCAGTTGGAGACCCAAGGTTACTGCCCTGAGATGAACCTGATGGAGAAGACACAGCAACAGGTGATCCACCATCTAAAAGAAAGTTAGGTTAACTCACTGAAAAGAATTATCAGACTGATCAATATAGTGTAAATGAGAGTTATAATAATATCTTTAAAAAATAGTAATTAAAAACCAAACATGATTTCAATTCCAATACACTAAATCTGTAATAAATGGTCATTAAACATGTTACCTATTTGATCATGTATAATAGAATCATCACATAATTACCAGTCTAATCACAAAACATTACATAAACTAAACAAAGAAAATTATCAACATTAGAAAAAAATCATATTTCCCTTACTTTCATGACACAACTGTAACAAAATAAGCAAATTCATGTTTTCAAAGGCAAATTCATTTGTGAAAATTTTGATAGCATTTACAATGTATTTTTCAATATAAAAACAATTTTATTCACAGATGTTACATTCAAAATTGCGATGTTTAATCCAAAATTAGGCACTTGAAAAAATTTGATATTAACCGTATACTAAATACATACAAAGTTCACATGAAATTTACATCCACGGTAGTTTCTCTTTATGTACTCATTACAGACTTTTACTGCAGTTTAATTTTTTCTTCCTGATTTAGAACACAGCAAGTTCAAACTTTACACTGTAAATTTGTGAATAAATAGAAATAATACTTCAAGTTATAACTTACATAGGATAAAGTAAAACTAAGGGTTTTTACATTTTAAGATATTCACAAATATTCATATACATAACTTAAGATAAAGCATTCTAATGATAGCTGAAATAATGTATAGATAAATACTATCTGGATTTAGCTTAAAAAGTATTAATATAATTGGATTTAATAATTCTATCATTTTTAAGGTTGTGAAATTTCCAAAATTTTGTTGAGACACAAAAACTCCTTCCTTTCATCTTAGAATTTAAGTATTTTTTACTACCGATCACAAACTTTTATTTCATATATCCAGCCATTTTAAACTTAATTAATATTCATTAACATATTTCTTTAGATACTATGACATCTAGCTACAAACTGTAAGAAAAAAACATGTCAAAAACTGACAGGATCTATCAGTGACCCAGGATCAAACTAATATCACCACTTCCATTGTCAAGCTGGATACTGTGATTTTTGCTAACAATATTCTTGGTCAAGATCAATTTATATCTAATAAATATACTTGCAGTTCAATAAGCAATAATTTATTTTATTTGTGTGTGTGTTGTTTGACAAACTTAACAATAATACTCAATAAATAAGTATTTCAGTCATCAAAATATTGTGCTCTCAATTATAGAAATGTCTAATCACAACCAAGCTTAGTTAATTTTTTGTTATAGAAAAAAAATTCTGGAGCTTTGAAACAAATATAATTTAACATTAAAATATTTTAAGGAACAAAATGAAGAACTATAATAAATTTCTAGATCTGAGGTTTGTTCTTATGAACTTCCCATTAAATTCCTTTGTCTACCCTCTAGATGAGCTTCAGCTAGCCATTTTCTTGAGAAACCATAAATTACTCAAGACCCTTTATTTATTCTACATTGATATATATATATATTTTATAACCTGCTCTATCCAGTAATATTTAAATGTTGATCATAGTTATTTACACAGCTAAGCTTCATTAGTAATTCTTCAGACACCACCATAAAAGGATGGCAAAAAAGATCTGTTGTAATAAAACCACTAATATAGAAAATTATGAAAGAAAAAGACACAAGAGATAGATACTTATATTTTTAAGACAGGCAGATAATTAAGTTGTTAACAGGCAAAGCTACATAGAAATGGAAATTGGAATGTGTTTTTCATTTCTATTTGTGAATTACATTGAACAAAAATGTTACAGAATGTTATCAATTTTAAAATATTTGTGTGTAAAAAATATATGAAATACTTACAATTATTATTTTTACTTAAATTTTGTGTTCAACATGCACTTGACACCTGGACGTATTAACCTATTAACCAGTCATGATAAGGGGAAAATTTTTTTTTACTAAATGTTTTTTAAATGTTAAAAGGCAATTAGGTTATTAACCAAGAGAATGCAAACGATATGTTATTATAGCATTCATCATTCAGGCACTACATGATGACAGTGGTAAAACTTGTTCTTACAGTTAACCATTTAGTTAGAATTAAAAACCACACATGTGATACTGGTTCATTTCTGATCTTTAAGTGATATCTTTCCTGTGGCAAATAGCAATAAAAGATAAAAGGGTTAAAATTAAAATATTATCAATTTGAATACTTGCTGTTTTCCCTAAAGACATAAAATATGTCTTAATCAAATTCTTCAGTGAACATTATTGAATCTAGAGGAATTTTTGAATGAAAAATAGCTCCATTTTTTAATAATACAAGACCAAAATGTTAACTTCATTCAAAAGCTTTTGACAGTATGTTAGCAGTTGATCTAAAAACTAGGTCTCACTTGAAAATATGTAAGACTGTGTTGTCAGCTGAAACTTAATTTTCTGCTCCAAAGACATAGGTATGACAATGTACCCAATGTTGGTTATACAAACATTTTTTTACCAGTGTGATGAGCTACGAGTTCTATTTCCCCAAAACCTGGTTCTTTCCTCTAAGCATTTATGACTTATTACTGCAATTTCATAGAAAAATTAAAACAACTATAGAAAAGCAAATAACACTAACCTTTGGAAGAAGTTCCAACTGAAGGTGTAGTGCTAGCAGATCTGTGGTTCTGCCTATGTCCCACAAGTTGAGCCATATTGGCAAACTGATGTGGTAAAACACCCATATGATGAGGAATTGTCTGACCTGGATGTGGAGGAGCTGGGAACCCTCCCATTGTTGTAACGAGTCTTAATGATTCTGCATTCAACCCTGGGGCAGCCATACTGGGTGGTATTGATCCAACTGGACCAGGAGGAGGATGAGGATTATATTCTGTTGGGTTCTGGTGTCCATGAGAGCCAGGAAAGGTATAGCGGTTGACATTCTGAGTAATAAATCCATGGTGAAATGGTAACTGATGACTGAGGTTTCCGCCATTGGTTGCTAGAAGCTGAATTATATTAGCATGACTTTGAGAAGTTGGAGGACATTCATGGTAGGATGCAGACAAACGTGAAGGGACAGTTGGACCATGAGAGGTGTGCTGAGCTACAAGCAAAGATGCACGACTAGAGAAGTCGGGAGCATTAGGGTTTAAGTTGCTCTGAATAACATGGGAGCCAGTACTGCTAGTAGTGTTGCACTCAGATGTACCTTCAGAAGCCATAGATCCTACTGAAGATAAGGGTGTGTGCTGACTAAATGTAGTATTTGTATGAGTGCCAGGTGATGGAACAGGAAATCTAGCCCCTGAAGCTACTGGAAAATTATGAAGTCTTGTATGTTGGTTTGCCATAGGTAGACTCATGTTCAGTCCTTGCATGGCCTGAGATTGGTATAAGGCTTCTGCTGCTGCTTGGGAAGCACTCAGCACCTGAGAGACTGGTCCAAAAGTGGAGATGGGACCACCTCCACCAACACTGCTCACCAACTCATTACCCGTAAACCGATGGGATTCAGGAGGTGATCTTGACTGAGCAGGAGGACTGGAGATGACAGGAGAAGTGGCATGTCTCAAAGGTCCTGAAACAGATGGAGCTCCTATGGGACCTAATGGAGGAGTGCATGGAGCACTTCGGGGCCCACTACCAATAGGTCCATAGTTGGTATTGAGAGACACTGGCTGAGAAACTCCACCACCACTAGATGAACTGCTTGATCCACTAGGAGAAACGTGAAGATTTCCACGGTAACCAGGAGCTTTAGCTGCATCAACCTCATAGTCAGTGGTCTGAGGAACAGAAAGGGAGAGGGAAGTCTGGACAGGGTTTGAATTCTGAGTATTCATTGCTACAGAAGTAACTCCTGCAGCAGCAACACTTGCAAAATTGGGCTTAGTCTCTTTCTGCCCCCACATACTGTGTTCCACCACCTTACTCAGATGGCACTGAAAAGGTGTGTATACTTGAGATATGGGTGACTGAACAGTGGCTCTCACTCCATTCACTAAGGCAGCCCGGTGGGAACCACTTGAGGAAGGAACTGAAACGGAGGCTGGACTGGAGGTTCTGGTGGTGAATGAAGAGTGCATGGCTGGATGATCATCAATAGCTTTTGTCTGCTGCTGGACTACTGAGGTTTGTGAAATTTGGTTCACCACCCTTTCATTCTGTGCTCTAGCATAGGTTGATGATTCAGATGCTGGAAATGGCTGAACTGTAGATGGTGGTGCAGAAAATTCTGTGGAGCTTGGTGTCAAACCTCCAAGCTGACTTAGGGCAGTGACAGCCAGTTTGGTGTCAGCAGCAGCTGAAGTGGACCTACTGGCTACAGTGATATTACTAACTGGAACAGACTTTGCAGATTTCCCTGCTATTGTGTAAGAAACAGTGCCTTTAGTGCTGGTTGTAGTGCTATGTGGACCCACTGTCATTTTTTTCTCTGAAGGAAATAACTGCCGGACAAAGGGGTTCTTATCTGTATTGATATTCCCTATAGATTGAAGAGAAGCTGAAGGCATGGATGCTGGAGCACCAGGAGAAGGGAGACGATTTGATGAAACAGTAAGACCTTTTCCCAAGGAGCTAGCTCCAGACCAAGCATTTTGACAGTTAGATGGAAAGGGAGGTGCTCTTACAGTGCCACCTACTGCTACAGGTGGGCGTACCATAGAGGAGGGAGCTCCTGGAAGTCGTGTCTGGTTGGAAAATGGGGCAGCAGCACTAACTGGCAGACTTGGAGGAGGGATGGTTGTGGCCTTGCTGATGTTAAGTGATGTGCTGCTTGATGACTTCAAAGCTCCAAGTTGCCGCGATGTTCCTAACTTGCTGAGACTGGACAGTGTTGTTACAATTCCTGTCATTCCCTGTCAAATATTGGAGAGTAAAAACATATACATTTAAAAGATTCATCAAATAAAATGACAGCAAAAATCATAAGCAAATTTAGCAGAAATTATGAAAAACATTTTATTCAAAGCTGTATTGCTTAAAAATCATGGTTACTTTCAATTATCTTTTTAAAATAACATTAATTTTAATTCAATTACAATTAAAACATGCAATTAGAGTAATACTCTCTTAGGTACTACTCGTTGCAGCACTTGTACAACTAGAGGGGCACTCAGTAGAGCACATACCTCTGCCATGCAGCATTGATCCTATTTGCCTCTCAAAAAATATGCAGACATGCATCCATCATTATCAATGGTCATGAACCATTTTTGACAGGACAACAAAGAATAATATTCTACATATGTCCACCAAGTTTCACAAAAAACTGATCATTTTTGACTGAGTTATAAGAGCAAAAATGTTGTGGAAAATTTGTTCCCATTTTAATAGATGGGAAGTTTTTTGTGACCTTGACCTTCGAACCCCCCCAAAAAAACTGCATCATACTGCTCAAGTTTTGTCAGTTGCATTCCTTAGTGTAAAGATCTGACCAAATATAACAGGATGAAATCATTCATTTTAAAGGTAAAATACACAGGGGACCCAGCAGTAGTTAGTGGGATTAATTCCAATAATGGTAGTATTTTGCTTACATTTTTTTCTAACTCTTGTTTTATTGAGTGGACTCTGTAATCAACAAATTACTTTAACTTTGCAGTTTACAAAGCTGGTAGTTAGTAACTTTTAGGTTAAGATAAACTGAAAGTGACCACCTTAGCTGTTTGATATAGCTAACTTATTAAAAATAAAAGGGGGGGAATCCAAGAATAATAAATTAATGAATAATAAAGTTAACAAACATAAATGTTTGGCACAAGTATTTATCAACAGTGTCGGCTATTAAACTAGCAAACACCCATAGTTTTTACTCCGGTTATATTCACTTTTTGCTTAGAAACATCTTTTTTCAATCCTGTTGGTGATAATGGTGGAGAGAAATAATCTATGAAGTTAGAATATTAACTGAACCTTTTTAAACAACTGGCTATTTAATAACACCTGAAGTAAGAGTTGACAGAGATCAAAAGTGGTAAAAAATTCAAATATCTAATGCATTTGTGAAGATGATAAAGTGCAGCAACGAAATAATGTATTAAGAACCTTTACTCTAAATTATGAAATTCATAGTAATAAAACAAAATAAAAAATATGATAATGAAATAATAACTCACCTTCATTCCCTCACTACCAAATGGTACTGCTGGCGTGCTTGCAGATCTTGACAGGCCAGCATTTGCAATGATTTCCGAAAGTTCACAATTGGCTTCTTTGATTAAAGCAGCAATCAACTGATTAGCCTGCCTCGTAGCTTCCTGAGATCCTCTACAAAAACAAACATCATTAATAAATGTTCCCTGGTGTACTAGCAATATGAATAATGAATTTAAGCCAACCAAACAACTTAACTGATATACTGACACACTCACACACACAGATTGATGCCAACTCTAGAAATGAATGAAAAAATACAATGTGTCCAAGAACTATAAATTTCTACCTAGCTCACAAATTTTCTTTGCTTACTACATATACACTGGCTGTATATTAACAAATACAAAAATCAATTTTGCACCTCACATAATCCTTTATTTCCTCAAATTAGTAGATCAACAAGTAATTGTGGTTAAACATCATTCTGCAGTTTTATTGGTATTTTACATAAAATTTTTACTAAAATACAGACAGTTTACTCTTTCAAATGAGGAATAAAAAATTAAAAACACTATTAAAAGCTTTACATGGAAAAAAAATATTATAAACTCAGCTTTCACAAAACAAACTTTTCAGGAGTTGATATGCCATGTATATTAAAAAAGAAAATTACCACAAAAACAAATTAATACCTGATAATTATTGTTCTGTCTCCCTGTCCCTTCTGCTTCTCCACCTCAATATGAGCACCAGACACTTCTCGAATGGTATTAATGTTGCAACCACCACGACCAATCACTCGACTAATAGCAGTAGAGGGTACTGATACTTTCTTGGACCTATCAACCCATTAAACTATGTATTAAATAATTAAATATCATTGTGGATAATTAAATAGCAACTAACTAAAGTAAAGACTGTATCAAAAACCTTATTTTTTCATCTAAAATAGAATAAACACATACTATACTCTGTAAGAACTTTTCCTCAATAACTGGAAGACATACCCAACTGCTACAGAAATACACTAGTCAAACTTGAATAGTTTTTTAAAATTAATGTTAACTCAAGAAGCTTCTATGATTATTACAAATGCAAGTATTCAAAATATATTTTTGCTTTATTTCTTTGGAGAATTTTTTTTATATAATGACATTTGAAAGCTACTATTTCACTAGAATTTAAACCTAGAACAATCACAGCTATATGAAAAGATTAGGGTAAACAAATAAATTTGCTACTACTAACTCAGAAACTTCAAATAAGTTTAATACTATTGTGATACATAGAAAAAAACAAGTAACTTTCAAATTTTTCTTAAAGGTGCAATTTACACAGCCTTGGGGATGCCAAGATTACATATTACCATAAATGTTTTATATTATTTTGAATGTAAGAATACAAAAAATTTATTAGACTGTACAAATAGAAACAAGTTTAGTACAAATAATTCTTTTTCTTCTGGATCTTACAATAATTATGATATTTAACCCTTAGAATACAGCATGAGTGGATCCATCTAAGCTTGGAAATAATCCACCGAAAAAGACACTACACTCAATCTTTTATATCAATTTACACAAAAATTAATATATATAACTAGTAATTTTAAGGATGCTATAAAAACAAAATATATTTTTTATCTATTCCTTATTTATGATCTATACATCATGCTTTAGGCAATATGCAGTGTGTTGTGTAAAGCAATTTTTATACCTTGACAATAATTGTTTCCAGACAATAATTTTCGTGTATGTAAAACCTAAATGCATACAAAAAATTCTTATGATAATGTTACTATTTTTCTATCTGCAACTGTTATGGTAACAGTAGAAATAAATTTGTCTGTTAAAACTAACTGGAAATATCAAAAAAGTAGATAAACACCTAAAGAAATCAGTTTCAGTTAAATTGATGTGCATAAATACATCTCCTTGATTTTGCTCACTGGATCAATCATATGAAAACATCTAGTTGCAACATTGTGTTTGGCATATTCAATTAAATGACACAATTATATTTTTATGTTGAAGTAAAAGTAAATATTAGTTGTTTTTTTACAATAACCAAATATACTGGAGCTTTTTATGCAGAGTAAGGAACAAAAAGTGGTATAAAAATATTTTAGATAGTACAAAATTAAAAGCAGATGCTTTCAGTCACATAGACCTGTGTTTTTGTGTTAAGCCCAAGTATTTCTACACTCATCTAAATACTTCTCCTTTAACCACACTCCCATGGTACTTGAACCATGCAAATATATAAAAAAAAACATGCAAAACATACCTACGAACAACTTCCTTCCAGCCTTCTTCTCGTTTCTGCCCTTTCTTAGGGGAAGTTCCCGTAATAAGGGATGACTTTCCACCTTGTGACAAACTACTTGTATTAGGACTACGTAGGCCTGCAGTCAGAGCTACTTCAGAAGGAAGCTCCACAATCAGATCTCCTAGAGAACTTCTAGATTAAACAAACAAAAAATGCTCTTTTATGTGTAAAAGAAATACTGTAACATTTCCAAATTAGTGAACAATGAAACAATGAGATTTAGTAAATTTATGGGAATTTATCACAAACAATTTTAATGGTTATATAATACATATAAATTTGCTTAAATTTAAATCTCAACAAAATGAATCATGTCTAAGTACTAAACATCCATAAGTTAAAAATCACCTGGCAAATGCATGGCTCAAGTCACAATATTGAATTACGTAATGCATGAGCTTCTTGCATGCATACCTCAAGATGTTGATAACAGTTAATCCTAATTTTTGCTAAGGTTGTTATTAGTACTTTAGCTAATTTTTATTTATTTCAAATATTCAACTTAGAATACAAAATAATAAACACAAATCATTCAATGTCATATAAATTTTATAATCTAACTGGCATTTTAACTATGCTACAAGTGCATTAAAAAACTCCCTTAGCTCATTGAGCTGAACTCAGTGATAGCAACTTTGAATCTGTAAACTTGTCTTAGCAATATCTATAAGTTTGTAATTTGCATTCAAACTCGGAAGTTCAAAAGCAGTAAAAATATCATCTAATAAATTGTACAATTTGGAGTGAACAAGTGTCAAATGATACAGAAAAGTGAATACTGATAATTTATTTAAATATTTCCATTTGAAATTAAGAAATTAAAACTTGTATAACATCAAAATTTGAATTATTAACCACATTTTGATGACATACATTTATTGACACACATTGATAATAAAAGTTTGATTAAATTTTGAATGTAGCTTTATAAAAACGTCATGATATGCTCACTTTTACCTATCTCTATTGAAATGGTTAAACAAGTCAGTGTGAAAGAAATGAGCAAAAATAGTATACAAAAATAATAATTGTGTGTGTAACATTCAAAATCCATACAGGAATGTTTGAAAAAGTAATAGCCTTGGACTCTGTCATGCACTTAAATATACAAAAATACATGATTCTAGATAGATCACTATCCAAGTTAGTTCCAACACTACTATCAATTATTTCCTTTGATACTGGAAACCTTCAGCAAATATAAAAATTTAAACAAACTATACAAATCATTTTAACAAACCTACCGAACAACTCAGAAATATCTAGAAAAAAAATAACACGTGTATGCTAATAATTCACACATCAATAAAAAATAAATAATGGATTTTTGAAAAATTTTTACTTAAATTGGAACTATACTATAGTTAGACTATAAAATAAGGTAAAAGGAACAAAATCAACTTTTTTTTTAATTTCATGAAGGAACTAAAATAGATATTAAAATTGATAACACTTACACAGTAGACGCTTTATCTTGAGTACCCCTTCTTTTGGCATTGCCAGGTAAAACTCCAAAATCATCTAAGTCTGACATAGCTGTATTCATTCCATATATAACTATATCTTTACTAGATTCCTTATGTTTGTGGTTGTTTGTACGTGGTTTTGATTCACATGATGATGATGTGGTTAAAGAACTTCCAACCATGGATACAGCTCCTTTCGTGTGGGTACTGGATACAGTAGTAGTAGTACTTGTTGGAGCACTTGAAACTGCAGGAGGAACATCGTGTTTCTGGTTTCGTTTCTTTTGACTTCTTGATGTAATGGAAGTACACACTTGGTTTAAGTCTGCTAAATTTGATTCAGGATGTTTCTTAACATTTCTTTCTCTATCTGTAAGCTTCTCTTTATTTTTCTTTTCTAACCTTCTTGGTCTCTCTTTTTCCTTCTTTTTCACAGGCCCACCACTTTCTAGACTAGACTGCTGGGAGCCTCGGTTTTCTCCCTGCCCTGTTTCATTAACTCGAGAATTTGAATCAGAATTTTTTATCTTTACTTCAGGTTCTATGTTGTTACTCACTGGCAATCTTGGTTTAGAAACTTCTTGTTTTGGCCTGACAGGACTACCTTTCACTGTTTCCCGGCTAACGACTGCTTCACCTGCAGCAGCTAAAGCAACAATATAAAAAAAAATTATACCTAATCATTAATGTCCAGCAGTATATTCATACTGATGTAAAAACTCTAAAAGTTAGACTGGTATAGATCAAAATAGTGTGTTAACCATTACATAATTTAAACTATTTATAAAATACTGTGTCACAAGTTCTAATTAATCATATCAAACATTATGCAATGTGATAATCACTACGGGCTCAGTCAAACTGGTAGAGTTCAAGAATCCCAAATTGACCTTTCTAGTTTTAATACTATAACTTCTAATAAGTTCATGAAATTTTACAAGCTTTCAGTAACTGTAAACATCAATTCTTTTGTAGACAAAAAAATCAGTATTTTCATTAAAAATTTCTCCATGAATATATGGAGTAAAAGTGTTTACTGCTCCGTGTACATAGTGATTTTCATGTTAAGATTAAAAACACTTTTCTTCATCTGAAAATTCTCAAATTTCACTTGCATAATCTCTAAAACCTACCAAAGTTTATAACTTTTTTTAGCAGAATTTTATATTTTTCTCTACTCTAATTCTATACGTTATTCAGTTTGACCTACTTTGTAACCATCATAAAAAAATACAAAATTAACCTTTTTTCTTTCTGGAATGACTTCAAATTGTAACACGAAACTACATTTGTTTATCCTAAATAGCTTAAATCTCATAACAGTATACATCTGTTTCTACTTAAATTTTATTGCCTTTTGAACCATGTCTAACTAATAATCCTATCACACAAATAAATCACATGGTGAATGTGTAGCTCACATTATCCTATTGAATTATACAAGGCACAAGCTGCTCCAGAGCACAACTCATAAAAAAGTTTTATTATTATTTTCTTACCTAATCTAACCTTATCTAAGGTAATAAATTTCTAGTTTTTAAATTTTTGTTTCTTTATTATTGATAATAGTAAATAAAAAATACACATGAAAAACAAGAAATATAATACTTACCTTGATCTATTTTTTTACTGTCAACTGTTGATGAAACTTAACCCTCCTTTTTCATACTAATGGTACTAATACAATAAATAATTTTTTATTTAATTAAATAATGCACCTAAGATTTTCTATTAGTTTTAAGGTTGTGACATTTCCACTATTTTGACATGTCAGTTTCAACATGATTAATATATTTCTTTTGATACCTTATTTTGCCATATGCAGTAGTCACAACTTCCAGCTACAAATCATAAAAACACTGCAAAAACTGACAACAATTTCTCTATACCCAAGACCTCACCTTTCAAAATGACATCACAATTTCCTTTGTCTGGCTAGGTATAATGATTTTTGCTAATAATCTAGGTTGAGATCCAATTTGATCTAATAAGTATGATTCATTTTCAATAAGGATTTGAATCATAAGAAAAATTTTCCCATTGCTTACCATACTTCCTGAGCCCAACTAAGCTTAACTGATGTCTTCTCATATCAGAAAATTTCTGTGGCTTTCAAACAGATATACTTTAACATAAAAATATTTTTCAGAATGAAATTAACATTTAAAAACTATAAAAAGTTCCCAAAAATGTGGTTTGTTCCTAAGACTTCTAAAACTTCCTATCAGATTCCTTTCTACACCATTACAGGAATAATGACTAGTAAATTTCTCAAACCACTTTATTTAATCTACAGTGACATACAATCTACTCTATTAAATCATACTTAAACATCAATCATTGTTCAGACCACATGCTGTAACATCATAAAAGTCTGGAAGGGCTGTAGCAATAAAACCACTAAAAGAGAAGGAAAAATCATGCATAAAAGTTTGTTTGTTTTAGAGCAAAGCCACATTGGGCTATCTGCTGTATCCACAGCAGGAATCAAACACCAGATTTTACCATTGTAAGTTCGTAGACTTACTACTGTCCCACAAGGGGATCTCATGCAAAAAACAAGACATAAATAATTATATTCTCAAAGGATGATAACTATCTTAAAAGGTTTCTTGCTTTTGCATAACAAAACTGAAATCACAAAAGTCACACAAAAAGCAGAGTAGCTACTGTTCTCACTTTAAAAGCTACTAAATGGCTATCCTAACTAGTCAATTCTAATTTCGAAGTAACAGACTAGAAGGAAAGCAGCTAATCAACACTATTCACTACCAGCTTTTGGATTACTATAATTGATAAATAGTGAGATTTTAACAACCACGTAGTTAAAAGGATGAGCATGTTCAGTGATAAGATTCAAGTTGCAAGTCGAGCATTCTTACCACCATTCTAATTAATTATTAATTACTGTAAATAATACACATAACTATTTTAAAAAATTTGCAACATCTAGGAAGAACTCACAAATCTGTGAACGTTTTTACAGTTTCATTAATTCTTAAAAACATTTTCATGTCATATTATATATATATATATATTTGTAAACTACTAAAATCTTTTCTATAACAAGACACCGGGTACATTTAGTTAGGTTGATAGAGTACAATAAATGAAACAAGATATTCCAATGATTCATACATTAAGGGCAAGCATGATAAATTTCAGATGTTTGTGAAAAATGACCATTTTTTGCTCAAATTTCAGATCATATGAAGAGGGCAACAATATATTCAGTTGTTAGCTTGATATGACAATTATGACAAAAATACTATTACTATAAAAAGGGTTGATGTTATGATAAAGATCGTGATAAAAAAATTAATAATGGAGAAAAAATAATACTGGAAAAGAAGTATGGCAATTAAAAAAGGAAAAAAAAACAAAAACAAGAGTACAAGCCTTGAAAATAAAGTTTTCTCTACCTCTACATTTAGCACTTAACAAAACACATTATGCTGGTACATCGACATCAACCAAAGAAGTTTGAAAAAATCATTTAAACTTGTTTCTAAATTCAATTTACAAGCTTTTTTCACCATGTGACCAGTAATAATAATTTCAAAATTTTGGATAAATTACAAATACTTGCCTGTCACTACAATAACTCTATTCAGTACTTCTCCATCCTCATCATCACTGTCATCATCATCATCATCCTCAAAATCATCTTCTCCATCAGACTGACTACTCTGAGGCTTAAGATGCTTCAATGTCACCCCTTTGTTTAAATGGTCCTCAAGTTTCTTTTCTTCTGTTGTAACAGCACTGGCAGCTCTTAACTACAAAAAAAAGAGAAAGGAAGAGAAATAAGATTCCTAGATAAGCATCTAAAATAAAACCACAAAACCTGAAATAAAGTAAAAGTGAATAAAAAATTGGAAAATCATTAACTTTAAGAAAATACCAAATCAAACTGCATAAGCCTTGGTATAAGCTTTCTATACAACACTACACATCTGTGTAAGGAAGAAAAATCTTAAGGATAAGCATCCTAGCTAGAAACTCAACTTATAGATGGTGTTAACATAAACTTGGGATTCCAAAACTACAATCTGTTAAACTGAAAATAAAATGATCTTTTACTTCGTTTGTTGCAATGTTAAAGAAAGCAGTGATTTATCTTCAAAAAAAAGTGAAAGAACAAGACAAAATTTGCTAGTCATTGTGCTCATAAGAAAAGACCATATCTTTCTTAGAGTTAAAAGTATGGAAACAAAGTATTTTAAGCTTTGTCCATAAACACGTGTTTCATTAAAGATGTGGACTGAGCATTTGTTGGTTGCCTACAATATACTAATAGTCAAAATTTTGCAATCGCATTCCATCTACTTGTAAAGATGTTTGTGACATATAGGATTAAGTACAAATATGGTGGCAGAGGGCTTTACTTCCCAAATGCTTAAATGTCTTGATTGCTAATCAAGGTATTTACCACTACCTAATAAATAGTAACTAAGGGTACTGGTAAATAGTAATTAATATAATAATTTAGGTGATCATATCAGCTACTAACCATCATAGTCTTTAATCTGCAACTTCAACTTACATTTTTTTCACATACACACATACACACATACCCCTTGGCAGAAATTAACGTTTTTTAATACTTGATTCTTTTTGTTAGTCTTACAATTGAACACTGTTGTTGGAATATAATGGTTTTCTTTTATTTTCCATCTAACTTGGATATATACAAGTTATGCACAGATAGTTTAACTTTAGTGGACACCTAAACCATACATTTTAAAATGGGCACAAGCTCCTCTAAATCATATTTCAAGGTACTTGATATAAAGAGACTCCATGGTTAAATTTAAGAATATCAGTTGTTTTGGAGCTACTTCAGCATAGGTGATAAAATCGGTAAGCCTTCTTTTTAAGCAAACATTACAGCTACCATAAAATATTTACTTAAAAAATAATATAGAATATTAAAAACTGACAAAGCATATTTTCAATCACGCACTTCCATGTTTTGGTACATTCAACATTTTATTTGTACACAAGAATTGGGTTAGTTCATTATGCCACTGGGTGTTTCCAACTTTGGAAAATGTAAGTGTTCACACTTTTTCAAAAGTAATACAGTAAATAGTATATAGTTTCATCAAATGAATTACTAAGGAATAAAATTGTATTCTTAATAACAACTAGAAAATATTAAAAACTTATACTTTGTCAACTTTTTAGACTCAAATTGAGATTTTAAGTTATACCCACTCATTTTTACGATTCTAATATGTGAAAACATTTGCACACCTCCCACTAGGTTCTAGGCAAAAAATATTGCTATATATAAGGGAATTTAATTGAAGATATAATATAGAACACTTGTCTAAAAAAAAGGGCAGAAGATAAAATGTACATTATTTAGAAAAGAATTTGAGAAAAACTTTCTTTTATACGTGTTAACAATTACTTCTACTCTCATGGGCACAGTAGAAGGATGATAGAAACACACATTTGGATAACCTAAAACGCGTATCTAAAACTTGCAATGATACTAGTTTCAACCGTAAAAAGCCTTCTGCCTTTCAGATGCCCTAGTATATTTGAATAGATATATAATTTATTCTTACTCATAACAAAGAAATAATGAAATATATCATCACAAGTGCACAAGTTAAAAACAAGCACAAATATGGTGTGCTACCACTTGTGAATCCTCACCTGGTGATGAACACATACAACCCCCATTTTTAGGAAAAGCACAAGTGTAAGAAATGATGTAAATGTACAACAGGATATTCAATACTTTCATCACTTTGAAATATTGTTAGTCAACTTTTTTGACCAGTGTTCAAATACATGTAGTATCAAATTTAAATCAGTTCAAATTCATAATCATTTCAGATTCAAATTTCAGGTTTTTGATCAAAATCATTTCAAATCAAAACCATGGAAATGAACTTGAAAAAATCTATCTCACACACCTTACCAGTTTTACTTCACTTGAACATGGGTTTACCTTTTCCTTAGGAATTCACTTCAGCGCAAGTTTACAAAAATAGAAACAAATCCCTATCTGTTTACACTATTTTTTGCTCTATAACTCAGTCAAAAATTATTTGGTCTGCAATAGCTTACTTTCCCTATAAATCTGTACAATTGATATCTGGACACCCCCCCCCCCCAAAAAAAAACTACCACCATGTTATCACTGAACATTTTTTTTAAACAATAAACAAAACTGTATTTTTACTATCTTCTTGTCTTTTATAAGGACATTAAATAGTTTTGAGCTTACATTCCAGAGCTATGAACATAAATTCAGAAGGTGTACACAGAATAGTTCAGTTGAAGCTCAGTAAAAGATGAATGCAATTTTTTTCCGTGACCTCGACACTCCAAAAACTAATCATTTCTAAGTTAGGTCATAGTTCAAATGCATACCAAGTTTCATCCAAATCCATTCAGCTGTTTTTGAGAAATTTTGCTAACAAACACACAGGATGAAAAGATAACCTCCATCCACCTTTGGTGGTGGAGGTAATAAGGACAGCTTAAAATTACAGGGATTTTTGGGCAATATAGGACTGAATCTATCTTGGCTTAAATTGACAATACCTTTTCAAATAATTATACACTTATCTCTTTAGTGTTGTGAATTTTATTTCAGTAATCGTAAACCCTTTTATCTAGCATTCTTTTTACTACTATATCACACCAAACTTTCCATTTCTTCTTATCATATTACCTGTTCTTGTCTTTCTTTCTTCTTCTTTCTTTTCTTTTCTCTTCTACGAGCTGCAGCTGCCTTTCGACTTTCTTCCCTAGAACGCTCTTTATCTAATTCTTCTAATAGAATAGTAGCATTTTTGTTGGCTTCTGCTTCTTGTCTGTCCTTAGCTGTTTTGATACTTTCCATGGCTTGGGCACACTTTTTGTGTAGCTCCTGCAAATGATAGAGCATACTGAACTGAACTAACATATAATGAAATAAACTGTGTCATGTACTTATTTCTCTCTCTCTTCCAAATTAATAACTTCATAGTGCAATACATAATCATAAAAAGAGACAAAATTCTACTTTGCCATGTCTCAGCCACTTTCAGTAAGTACACATGTATTCAGTGTATCCACTGAAGAATTAATAAATAGTTCAAATTATAAACTTTTCAAATACAAAAGAAAATACACACAGGCCAAAGAGCTTCTCCAAACTTACAGAATATTTCTACACTTAATCAATTATTTCATTAAAAAGATACCTAAAATGTTACAAAATTTTAATACTATTTCAAATTAATTCTTGTTTTTAACAATTAGATTATAAACAGCAAATATATACTTATTAATAATACATGAACTATGTTTTTATGTCACTGAAATTCAACTTGCATCAATATGGATTTCATCAGACAAAAACTACCTTTAAAAGAGTTAAATAAATTGCCATTGTGGTTTTATCAAGACATATATTCCTGATGAACTTGTGAAGCTAAGTACTGTATAATAAAAATAATAATATTCTAGGTAAAAGGTCATACATACAGTCAGGATGCAGAGCTAAATTTTACTAACCTTATCGCTTAATGTGCTAATGAACTTTTTCATCTCATGGTCTGAAGGGTACTGGGAAACATGTTTTACCATCCATTTTACTACTTTTACATGGCCTCTCCTAAATGCAGCCATTAAGCAGGATACCTTTCGATTGTCTTGGCTGTCAATGTCAGCACCAGCATTGACCAAAAGCTGGACAACATCCAGATGTCCACCTGTAAAAAGAAATTAATATTTTCAGTCCTTTGAAGCAAGAATGTGAAAGATTTATAACAGTTTCATATCTTATATTCACTGTTTATGAAAGTAAGTTAACTAGCAATTATCGTTTTTTCAATATTAAATGTCAAGTAGTTACTATTAATGATTAAACATAGAGCATGAAGAAACAAAGCTCACAAAACTAGAAGCTATACATTAATGTAAGAAATTATCAATATAGTTAAATATCAAAACAGGGATAAGAAATGTAAAACTTGTAGTCCAGCCTAAGCGTACTAAAATGACTAAGAACAATAAATGACAATGATTTAGCCTTAGCTCTTTCACTGATACACTTATAGATAAACTCTCACAGTGCCATATTTATTTTTAGATACATAATAATAATATATACAAAAATAGCTCCATGTGCTAGTATTTCATTCCTTAAATAAATCTTGAAACTGACAAATTTTGGGATGTTCGTAAACTCTTTTCACAGTAGTACAAAATTTTCTATTGCCCATGGCTGTGCTCTAGAAGGAGGACAGATACATACCTAATGGCAGTATCAATACATCATCTTCCTACAATGAAGTACAGAAGTTCAAACTCAATATGTTTTCACACAGATTTATCATTTGAATCTTCTTCTTCTGTAGCTTTTCCCGTATCTATACGGG